ACACGTGAACTATACTATTATCTCAATCCATTCAGGCGCCATGGTATATAGAATAGGACCGACGAATTCTATAGATTCTAATCTTATAATGTTTACCAAAACGAACACGAAGAGGAAAAAAAAACATAACTACTGTAGAATTTATGACTACCACACACAACACACAATCACACACACTCACACACACACAAACTTCCTCAAATTTCACAAACAGCAATTTGTGGATAAATCCCTGGTAGAAAAATGATGTTACCTGATGTTAATGGGCAGGTATTTTCACAACAGCCTATAGTCATAACAGGTGTGGTTAAAGCATCTTAAAAAATATTTCCCTTTTTGACGAATTCACATTTTTTTTTAATTAAAAAAATGAAAACAGCGAAATACAAAATAACAATAGTTACACATTAGATTAATATATATATATATATATATATATATATATATATATATATATATATATATATATATATATATATATATATATATATATATATATATATATATATATATATTATAATTGTATAAATCTTAAATCTAAATGTTATAAAAAATCAAATAAATGATTAAATTATACATATTAAATTACGATATTTACAGATGGTGTTGATTTTTATATATAAAACGGTAAGTTTTATTAATTTTTCGAAGTGAAAATAAATGATATTTTTTTTTTGTCACGTAGAGAATAAATAAGAAATTATCTTATAGAAAAATTAGATATATTATTTTTACAGAAAAATGTAGTAAATCCAACGTTATTATGAAGATACTAAAGTAACTATTAAAAGAATTATGTGACAATTAAGGGAAGTAGGTTCGTTTAAATTTAGAAAATGTTCAAAATATGGAATGATGTAAAGACGAATGCATCAATTGAGTTTCGATTTTTAGGATATGACTGGCCAATGTGCTTTCTCTGCTGCAGCCCTAGGTTATCCTGCAGCTGCTGGTGGAACATGGGCGGCAACTCTCTGGCGTTGTTGGTTGAGTTGCAAGTTAAGCCTTCTTGACCAAAACTCTGAAAATAAAAATGCAAGTCACAAAATCTGAAGAAAAAAGAAAAAGAAACTTAGCATAATCCCATTTTCTATGAACTAAGAGACCAAATAAAAATGCGATTAAATCTACAAGTAAAAAATCTTAACATTTTTCATATCTTTATAATATAAAGAGTGGAATGTGTAATAAAATAACGTACTCTGACAACAGATAAGCACCAAGAGAATCACTGAAACAACTAGTTGTATTTTAATGATTTGCATCAGCGACGAGGTCGATAATATTTCACTCCTAAAAATAGTAATAAGGGAAAGCATTTACTACAAGCCAACAGTACTTCTCACACAAAAAGAAGAAATATAATCGCGTTGGATTAAAACTATACGTACGGAGTAGTGAATTCCCGTGGGATGTCACGATCAAGGCAAGGGCAAGTTTGGACTGTAAAAAAGACGCATGTGTAAGCATGCATGTAAAGTAAAACTTGCTGTTAGTGAAATATAAGCTTTAGGTAAAAGGAAGGTTAGAATTTTTTTTGTACAATTTTTGTAATTAGTTCGACTGTTTGTATATTTGTGGTAAATCTTGTAACTCAATTTTAATCCACTTCTAATTCGGTGATTTCGTTCAAATA